AAAACCTTCCGCTCAAGTCAGGTTTTTTTTGTATCAAAATTTAACTAGTTATTTTTAGGGAAATGAGGCTTAATAACCAAACAAAAAACAATAATTAAAAAATTAACTAATTAACCTAGATGCAATGGTTGATTTTTTGCCATATACCCCAACTTTTGTTACTTTCTTGATTATTAATTTTTTTTTTTGGTTATCTAGCAAATAAGCTCTTATTTTTAATGTCGATATCATTTGAGTTTTTTTCTATAAAGAAAGAAAGAAAGAAGAGCTAGATTGTTTTCTTATAAGTGAAAAAAGACCGAACTTTTGTGTTATGTGAACGAAAGTTAAAAAAATCGGATTCTTTTTTAAGAGAAGGATATGGAGTTTTGTAGAAACTGTTAAACTTACGTACACTTTAGTAATAAACAAAGTGTATATTTTTATCTACTTTTTTAGCAAAAGAGTAAACCAAAAATATAAAAAGAGCGAGTCAAATAAAAGCCCAGAGAAAACGGCTCAAGATACGTTACTCTAATCACTCTCCTTTCTTCAATTTAACAAAAAAAAAACAAATCTTTTTAAGAACAATATAGCCACAAGCTATCCTTGCCTTAGTAAGTAAGCCAAACACGCGAAGTAGAAAGGCAACAAAAAATTAATAAATTTAGTCTCATAAATCTCTTTTTATTCAAAGAACCCCAACAAAAGTAACATGATTTTCCATCATCAACTTCTTCACCATGACAAAATCAAGAATAATTACCGGAGTTCTGTCTCAGCTCCTTTTAACGGCCGTGATCTCTCCGATTTTGGCGGTCTCCGATTTATCGGACGGTGGATATAACGAGAGGTTTAAGAGACGTGATCCTCTTAACAGCTTTAGGTTTTACGACGGTGGTTTCAATGTACGAGACAAACATTATTGGGCAGTGAGTGTCTCTTCATCTTCTTAAATCTAATGTTTTAACATATTAAGGACGTTAATATGGATTAAAGTCTTTAATGGGAATCTCAGGCTACGGCATTTACCGGAATCCACGGTTACGCCGTCGCCGGAATCTTGATCATCGCCGGTGTCTGTTTGACACTTTACGTAGCTTTCTCCGACAAAAGAAGACGCGTTTCTTCCACGCGCTACCGTTATTATCTCGACCGTTATTATCTTCCTCTGTTCTTACTTGTCCTCCTCTTCATGTTTCTCGCAATGTAAGCGTTTTATTTGGTTAGTAGAAAACATTTTTAACTTTTTCATTTTGGTTAAAATCACAAAACATTTAAACAGGGCAACGACAGGGATAGTAATAGCAGCGAACCAGAGCTCGAAGAACAGAACAGAGGAAATGAAAGAAACCATAGACAAAGCTGGAGAAGATGTCGAAAGAACCATACGTACAGTGATCGTGTCTTTGACGAAGATACAGTACCTGTTGCTTCCGTACGATCAGAAAACGACTCATCTTCTCAATGTAACTAGCCATCGACTCGGGAAAGGATCTAGGCTTATTCAAAGCTTTGTTCATCGTAATGATCGTACCATTGATCTCGCAATTAAAATCTCGTACGATCAGATCAAACACAACATTGTTATGTTTAATCTTCTCTAATTCAAAATCCAACATTGTTATGTTCTAATTTTTTTTTTTTTTCAGGTATGTAACTCATCTTGTGATTGCATCGACCAACTTGTTCGTTCTGCTTCTAGCCTTTGGTGAGATCATTTCACATTCACTATAATTGTGATAAATTTTATAGGTTTAGCGATTTAAGGTTTTAATGGAATTCATTTTGCTTTTGTCTTTCTCAGTTCCTCTCTTGCTTCATTGGTATCCTGGACTCATCATGTAAGCAATCGAAAATCGTCGAATCAAACATTGTTCTTCTTCAATTTTTTTTTTGTTTTTGAAAACTTTGTTCTTCTTTAATTGGATCTTAAACCTTTAAAGAATCACAATTCTTCCTTTGTTTTTTTAACTAGGGTGATCTTCTTGTGCTGGATCATAACCACTCTTTGTTGGGTTCTAACTGGATTTGATTTCTTCCTTCACACGTAAGCCAATCAAACCCTAAAAACTAAGATACACACTTGTTTACTTAACCCTAACTCCTTAGCTTTTTCCACTCTTCGCAGATTCGCAGAAGACGTTTGTTCAGCTTTCAATGGCTTCGTACAAAACCCACAAGACAACACATTAACTAATCTTTTCCCTTGTATGGATCCTCTTCATTCTGATAAAACCCTAATCGAAATCAGCTTAATGATCCATAACTTCATCACCGGGGTACAAATCCGTAACATTTATCTTTATAATCCCAAGAATCAAGAATGTTAAAATTTAACTCCCCTGTTTCTTGTTTTGTTTTTGTTCTTCTCTCAGTTAAACTCAAAAGTAGCAGATTCGATGCGTTCTTACGCGTTGGCTGATAGGAGCAATGCTGTCTCCTCGGCGCCGGAATCTGGACTGATATGTGATCCGTTCGTCGGACAACAAATCAATAGCTACACACCACAAAGCTGCTCTAATGGCGCAATTCCAATCGGCGAATTCCCAAATGTAAGTCTTTTTTAATCCGGTTCGGTTAGGTTTGTGTTCAGCCCATATATAATTAACTATATAAGCAAACAAGACAACCTTTTCTTGTGTTCTTAGATTCTTTCGAAATTCACATGCCACGAGAAAGATCCACCGGAAACCTGTAGAATCACCGGAAAATTCATCCCGGAAGCAGCTTATCTTAAGGTCTATGCTTATAGCAACTCAGCTCAAGGCATGCTAGACATTTTGCCTTCTCTTCAAAACCTAACACAATGCCTTGCCGTGAAAGACACGTTATCGAGTATCGTCTCTAACCAATGTAAACCCTACAGGGCTTCGATGTTTCGCCTTTGGGCATCGATGCTTGCTCTCTCTCTTCTCATGAAGGTTCTGGTTTTGCTCTTCCTCGTTAAAGTTTTTCAAGAGAAAGGAAAGAGTTTTGCTTGGTTTTCGATTTATCCGATTTCTTCAACAGATAGACGACAAGTGAATATATAGTGATGAGTGTGTATAAATACATAATGGATTTTTTTTTTTTTGGTATTTACATTTTTTCTGAAAAATTATCAGTGAAAGAGAGTGTATTAAGAAATGTAAATATGAGATTGTATATCATAACATTTGTAATAAGTGTGACTCAACAAATATTTGTCACATTCAATAAAAAAGACCTTTTACTATATAGTATGTTCTATCAAATAATTGATTCATTTCCATCGAAGTTTAATTTGATTTTTTAACAAAAAAAAAGTTTTAAGTTTTATTTGTTTAATTGAATCCAAAAACAATTGATGAGAGAGAAGAAAGGTGGCAAATGAATTTGTCAACCACTTGAGAAGACACATAACATGTGCATCAATTATAACTTTAAGTAAAATAACAAAAGAAAGACCAGTATTAAATGTTATTTATTGTTAATCATAATCAACTGTAATATTATCCTTAAAACGGGG